CCGACGCATCAGAATCAGCTTTGTCTTTCTCGCCCGACGGCCGAACACGGACACGCCGTCGGAGCTCAGCGATTCTGATGCGTCAGGTTCGCGCTGTGTTTACGTCTTTTTTGAGCTGCAGGTTTTGTTTCTCCAACCAAAATTCGCCGAGTCAGCAGCAAACTACGCTTCACATGTGATCAACGTCATCATGAATTCACTCTGACTTTTGCTGTTTTGCTTCCACCACGATAAAATCACACTTCCTGCACACAGCTCTCTCTCTCTCTCTCTCTGTGTGTACTTCAGGAACAGTTTCCCGTCTAAAAATCTGTTTTCTGTATTATTCATTTGCTTATCACCCACCAGTCTACCGTTGTTTACAGCGCTGTCTTTTTCTCTTTTCACTTAAATGACCTCCGACAAGAAAGCCTCATTTCTGCTGTTCAATACTGAAGAAATTTAAACTTTATATGCAGAACATTGCAGAATATTTTTAAGCTTATCTGCTATAAAAATCCAGACCAGGAAAATCTCCTTCATGTTTTTCTGTTTTATCCTGAGTTACTTTGACACAAAGTATCTGCTGTGATGTTCACAATGCTGATGAAGTCTCACATGTATCAGTGCTGATAAATGATCAGAATTATAATATTCCTGACTGTCTGAGGCTAAATTGAATCGAATCAGGACTTTGAGAACCGGAATCGAATAGAAATCAGTGATGATACTCAGCCCTGTTAGCAGCCTGACAGAAGTGGATGTAGCTGTAATAAGAAAAGATGAAAAGAACTATTGATAACTTTTTTGTTAAGTTAAGACCTGATCTGTCTGAAATTCATAGCCAGCTCTGACACGGAAAAAGCAGCAGTGTGTCCAGGAAACACGTTATATGCTGCAATAAATGCCCACGTGTCCTCTCTGCCTGTCAGCAGCAGGCAGGTCGTCAGAGGAGCCGAGACGATGATGAAGTTTAACATTTTCTACAATATTGACAAAGCACAAGTTTGTTAGTTAATAATTTAGAAATGAATATTGTCTGTATGGACCCCCCCCCAAAGAAAATGCACATGTAAAACTGCGATGCGGTGGAAAAATTTGAGTGAGCCTGAATTTTTAAATTTAGGCGCACCGGTGCGCCCAAGTCAAAAAGTACTACCTCACACTACACAGTACTACACAGTACTACCTCACACTACACAGTACTACACAGTACTACCTCACACTACACAGTACTACACAGTACTACACAGTACTAC